AAAATCTTGCCCACCATTCACTGCCATTATAAAGCTTGGAAAAGCCAGGACATTTTTTTTTTAAATATAAAAAGTCATATACACTTAGTCATATAGTCATACAGTTAGGATGGCTTGAGGGCTGGGCTGTACAGTGCGACATATATGTCGCACGTGCTACGAAATAACTTTTATATAACTCTGATTGTATTCGTTTGGAAGAAGAAAGTCATATACACCTAGGTTGGCTTGAGGGTGAGTAAATCATGGGGCAATTTTCATTTTTGGGTGAACTAACCCTTTAAAACCACACTTCAGTATAGCGCTGCCCAGAGAAAATGACTAAAACTTAAATTAAAATTTAAATATAAACTGAAAACACAAAAAAGGTATTTAAAAATTAGTAATACTATAAAACTTAATAAAAAATAAAATTAATAAATACTATTAAAATCAATTACGAATAAAAACTACAATAGTATACATGTGATACTAAAATAAAACTGCTCTAAAGCACCAATTTTTCACCACAGTCCCATTGTGGGACAGTTTGACAACTCTGTTCGTCAAATTTTATCTGTTGGCATGTATTAAATCCAACAGGATCTAGGCAACTGGAAAAAGTATACGATTTCTTGTGCATCTCAAGGATACAGCCGTAGTAACTTGAGCAACATAGCTGGAGAATGGTGGGAAGAGAAGTAGAAAGCACTAAAGGGGTGGCAGGAGTTGAAAGGGAAGAAAGTTAATAAAGAGTGAATGAAAGAGTGGGAAATGACTGAAAAAAGAAAAGAAAAATGGAGAGACACTTTGCTATACTATAGCACTCTACCCTGACCCAGTTGCAGAGCTGATATGAAGTTGGACTCGTGCAGTAATTATAGTCATTATGAAAAACAATCACATATCCTTCATAAGGATAAAATGCTCCTATTTTTCTCCGTCTGCGAGGTGAATGGGGCAGATCATCTTTCATAGACAGACCCTGAGATGATGTAAACTGTAGAGAGTTGAACCCTGTCCTTTCTTTGGTCATGGATGAACATTTCCAGCAATTGCTAGAGGGACGTGACAACAAAGCCAGGACAGTCACACACATCAACACTGACATGAACAGACGCACACACATATAATCAGAAAAAGGTGTTTCTGCTGGCCTTCAGCAATAAGAGAGAGCCAAGCTTGAAAACTCAGAAGATTTATAATAAAGCCCCCTCCTCCTCCCCACACTGCTTTCTCAATCTCTCCCTCTCTCTCTTTCTCTGCTCCACATCTGTTTCTGGCTCCTCAGATCAGGCCCAGGAGTCAACAATATATAGGTCAACGTGCACAGCTGAAACTATGACCACACTCACTTATTATCTGATAGAAGGATATTAAACAGCCATGCATGGCATCAAGCAGAGAGAATTACGAAATACATTGTAGTCAATCTTCATTATGGGATATGTCATCTCTTTAGATGTTTAGTGAGCTCATGCTGGACTACTGCTGAGAGAAAAAAAAAGTATTTTAAAATAAAATGGTTAGACTGACCTCTGTTGGCGAATCTGATGATGCACATAAAATCACAAAATGGGAAATTCTATTTACATTAACATGTAACTGATAATAAAGTAAAACCTGTAGTGTTAGTTACATTAAATTACTGAGATTAAATTATATTAAAAGTGCATTCAGTAATTCTTATTTCGAAATTCTTAATTCGCTTAGACCAGGGGTGTCCAAATTCAGTCCTAGAGGGCCACAGTCCTGCAGAGTTTAGCTCCAGCTTGCCTCAACACACCTGCCTGGAAGTTTCTATGCCTAGAACCTAGATTAGCTGGTTCAGGCATACTGCACGCCCCCCCCTCAAAAAAGGTCCTTGTGAGTGCAAGCACACTTGGCAATTACGCTCTTTCTGATTCTGATGTTAAAGATAAGCCTCTAGCTCAGGCCTATTTGGACCACAATTAGTGTCACGGCAGGTGTTTTTAATGTCGTATTTTACATGTTATAAAAGAAAGACATAATGCTTGTTTTGAAGCACAGCATTCTTTATTGATCTGATTGCAAAACATACATCAAAACAAATATACAATGAATTATAAATGTTGTGTACAGGGCCGGCGTGTGCCTAGACGAACTAGGCAAAAAGGAGAGATTTAATTTTTCTTTTATTGGACATTCGTTTGGAATTATTGCACTCATAACAACAATTTATCACTTCATTATTCTAATTCTAATTTAACTTTCTTTCATAATAGTGCCGCTCCCGTGACGCCAAACAACAATGAATTTATTGATAAAAATAGTTGCAGAAGAAGCATCAAAGAGAGCAAACGAGTCCAAACTTAGAAGTTCCTTTCCATCTCAAGACTCAATTCTTGGATATTTCTCTTTGGCCAACCGCACAAAGTCTTCAGCACTGTCCAAAGACACCAGTCGATCCTAGGAAATTATCATATCAATTTAAAAGCTCATTATTCCAAAAGTCCTTCAGCTCAACCAAGCTGCTTGTAAAATTGGCACATCCTTGATCGAGTAAAATATAATCATGTAGAAAACTTTTTACATTATACGTTTATCATGATGAGTCCATTTAATGTACACATACAGTACACCATTGAGGCTGTTGGACTGAGGACTGTTGTTATTTATTATGCAGACATTACAGTAATTTACCATGACAAAGACATATCTTTCACTGTTGCTGAGTCCACGGGGGAAGAGGCCCGTCTCCTCTGATACTATGCGTAGGAGATCCCTGGCCTTCTCCACATTGTCCCAATCATTCAGAACAGTCAGTCTGTTCACTGTCAGTAAGGAGTCTGCCTCCTTCTGGTAACCTGGATCAATAACATACACGTACATTTACATGACTGCACTTCTTCAGACACAAAGACATGTTCACACTCCACTGCCATTACATGGGCAAATAAGGGTCACGTTTTACTTGGTATGCTATTGCTATTATTGCATAACTTGCATTGTGCATTATTCATTTAAGCATAAATAAATGACATTTTTAAAGATAAAATGAACATTGTTCTTGTAAGCCATTTCCTTTTTTCAAGAACATAGAACGTAGAAAATAAAACATACAACTATAAGTAAAAAATAATACAGTTATAACATAATTTAAAAAGGAAAATAATAAAATAAATATATAAAAATATAGTCCACCTCACCCAGCTGAAGCAAGATCTTCTTCCAACGTGTACAAACTTCTTTATGAGCACACCTCAGAGTGTGGATATCATAGTTCAGTTTCTCCCATTCCTAAAACACACACAAATAGTGGAAGTGCAGTCAAAGAGCAAGACACAAAGAAAGCTTTGAAGAACTTTGTGGATGGAGGCATAGGTTGCGTGGCAGAACATTACTATTGGGTTACCATTGATTGATTCTAACAAGTTCAGAAGTGCATTATAGACCATGTGCTCTCCAGCTGTCAACAGCCTGATAAATATGAGAAAAGCTAAAGCTACTGTATGAAGTGGACACTGACATACAGGAAACATTAACAAAATTAGGTTAAAATCCCAAATATTGCATTTTATAAAAAAAAAAAAAAAAAAAGACCTAAGATTAATGTCAAGAAAGAATTTCTGCTCTGATCATCTGATTGTGGTTTACAGTTAAAATGACCAGATCAGTGTGCTCATCTCACTTTAGGTTTGTGTCTGAAGTGAACTCTTCATCACTTGTCTTTCTGGTACAGTTGAGCTGAATTCAATTTGAGAAAATTGGCAAATTACATCAGCCTGAATTCTGATGTATTTACTTGTAGCCAAAGTCCAATACAAAAAAGTCTAAGTCACATCTTCTCTAAAGCACGAAGCAGTACGTATAGAAGGCCTTATGGATTTTGTACTGGTCCAGGCATAACTGCATAAAAGAATCTGAAAAAGATTTTCTTTTGCAGTGTGATTTGAATGTTTGCATTTGGATGTGTAAAAAAGGTGACAGCTGTGTAACATGGGTAGAGATGACCATTAAACTAAAAATGCGACCAACATTACACACAAATCGCATCCCAGAGTGCATGCGTATTTGTTCCTCACCTCAGTATCTTTGTCCACTTTGTTCCTCATCTTGATGAATGCGTGTAATTCAGACCCCTCAGTAGTGGAGATGGAGGTTTGAGTGCTGCTCCAGGTCCTCCCCTCCTTCTCAGGTCCAGATCTGCTGTCATGCAACTCATCCACTGTTGTCTCACTGCCACTGGACATACTGGTCCTGGTGGAGGCAACACTGTATTCAAAGACTTTATTAAACTAGATTTCACAAATACATCTGGATATAGTACTATTAAAGATTCTAGTGATGAATAACAAAATTTAATATTGTTGATATTTGTCATTTTTACAAACAGAATATTCAACAATAATTATTTTTTACTTTTTAAATTCTCAAAACTTTTATTGTTATTATAGTATTAACCCTTTCTATCATAAAAAAATCACTCTCGTAATATTTTTTTTTTCATAATAAATCTGTCTTTAACTACACACAAGGAAAAATCGTATGCAATGTTTACAATTTATACAATTATATACAAGAAAAACACCAACATTTTGTCACTTACCTTAATATACGATCTTTCTCCTCAGTAGTTTCAAGAATAGGACAGCAGCCAGAATAAAAGGCGCCCATTTAAAGCAACAACGTTTTTTTCCCCTAAAATTAGCTAAAATTCAGTACGCCATACTCATAGTTATTGTTCCTTATAGTAGAGCCAACATCCTCCATGCACTAGGATAGAAATTTGTGCTGAAGTTATTTCTCACAGGCGGTGTCCTTAACTTGATAATGGGCGACTCTGGCCATGTGACTGCACTGTTTAAATGCCCTTGGGACTAACCAAATTCAAGACAGTCAGCACAAATAAAACAAAAACACTACATCTGGAGCTGCCTTATTTAAAATGCATACATTTATGTCTATATGTAGAAATTACTACTGTAATTTATGTGACCCACATCTGTATCGGTTCTTTACAATTCTTGCTTCAGAATTCAAGAAACTCTCAGACGTTTAACTTTCCACTTTGTTTAGAACCAAGACAATGTGTTGAGCTATGTCAGCATTAGTCTGAAAGATCCAGCTGCTGGTGATGGGACAGACTCAGTGAATTTACACCAGGGTTTGTCATTTTTAAAGACAGTTTAATACAAATCAGTCTCAAGCATGTCATACAGATACTCAGGCTCCAGGTTTGAGACCATGGCTTGAGTAGACATGTATGGGCTTGGGCTGGTCACTAGGGGGTGCATCTGCTCCCTGTTGTCATTCGATTCGGCCCTGTACTGTCTGTTGGAGCCAAGACTGTTTTTCCTACACATGCATAAAATGAAAAAGTAAAGTCCTGGCTAATACCTCTTCAGTGAAGAGTCAATGCCACTTGGGTACATTTCTTATTAAAAAAGGTTATGGCAAAAAAAAAGTAATTAAAAAAAAAAATGATACAGATAAAGTGAGATCAACATAAAATGAAGATGTGACCTGGAAGAAGATGGTGGAAGTGCAATGATTCGGGGTCGTGTCGTCAGCACCAGCTCACCCAAGAAAGCTTCCGTCATTAGGTTCTGCAACATGTTCAGCAAAATGTCCTCCACCAGGTCACAAAACTCAGGCAACCTGCAGAAAAGAAGGAGAGAGAACGAAGATTAGTTGTTTAAATGACAACATTTGATTTACGACTAAATTTTTTCTTCTCTAGTGTTATAAGAGCCTCTCTAGTGTCACAGCACACCTGCGAATGGACTCCTGGACCTTCATCTTTATCTCCTCCTGGACTTCATTCAGAGACTCCTGGTCACACTCACTCTTGGGTCTGTCTGCAGTGCTATAGTTTCCTGTGTAAGTCTCTGCTGGAGTGACACTGGACACACTAAACATTTCTACAGGGTTCTGGCTGCCTGCAGCAGAGCGGGGTTGTGTTTGTGTGGGGAGCGTAGGAGCAGGCCGCAGCTGTGTGAAGTACGGCCCCTGCTCACTGTCGCCCTCTACCAGAGACTGCTGGAACTGAGGCTCTTCTAGGAGACTCCTGTAGGAGAACACAGAATGACCGACCACGACCAGTGTGAACTCCTACTGAGCAAGAGTAGGAATGACAGTTGTTCCATTTAATACGTCAGAAAGGCTGCAAAACGTACACTACCATTTAAAAGTTGGGGGTCAGGTTTTAGAATGTTTTTCAAAGAAGTCTCTCACCAAAGCTGCATTTGATCAAAAATACAGTACAAACGGCAATATTGTGAAATATTGTTACAATTTAAAATACCTGTTTTCTATTTGAATATATTTTAAAATTTGATTTATTCCTGTGATGGCAAAGCTGAATTTTCAGCAGCCATTACTCCAGTCTTCAGTGTCACATGATCCTTCAGAAATCATTCTAATATGCTGATTAATTATCAATGTTGAAAACAGTTGTGCAGCTTAATATTTTTGTGGAAACCATGCTACATTTTTTCATGATTCTTTGATGAATTAAAAGTTTAAAAGAACATCATTTATTTGAAATACAATCTTCCATAACATTATAAATGTCTTTATCGTCACTTTTGATCAATGCATTAAAAATTAATACATCTTTTCTCAATAAACATATTCATTTAAAACAAAGAATCAAACAAAAAATAAATTTTTTAACAACAAAATCTAGCGGTGCTAGACGACCACTCTCAGGACAGATCTTTACAGTCTGTGGTCAACATGACAAACAAATGAACGCATGCAGTCAATAGTCAATATACTGAGTAGACTGGCCATGTTATCTGATCAATTACACATTGTATCAGTTTGTTCCAAACCCTTATGCTGAAATGATTTCTGTGGCACAAAAAAAAAAAACATTTATGAAGAATCATGCAGTTCTTTTGCACATAATGGCAATTTATTGTTCCATAGTGATATTTCACTTCTGTCAAGCTTTAAAAAACATTATGAAAGCACCACAAAAGTGGCCCATATGACTTTTGCGCTACATAGCAGATTTTTCATTTTTGCACGAACTATTACTTTAAATCTACGTACCTGCTGGCATTCTGTGCTTGTTCCGTTCAATTTATACAACACTTGGTCTGTGTGTGAGACGTTGGTCAAAAAAAGGATGCGTGTACTACGAGAGCCCACTGGGATATCACCAAAACACACTCTCTCTTCTGACAGGAACACCACCTATTCACAAAGAAAGAGAGAAAATTTTGGCTTCCTTTTTATGTGGAACATTTCTTATATATGGCTTATATCATCAAGCACTTTCTTACTTGTCCAGGTACTGGGATTCTTTTAGTGCAAGGCACAGTAATACAACCATCCTGTATTTGAATGGGTTCTGACTCTCTTTCATCAAAGCCTTGGCCCTCAAAGGTTACGAACATGCTGTCCCCCTCCACCACATGAATAGGTATGTCCACCTGGAATTGTGTGGCAATCTCAGTACAAATCACTAAATGGTTTGCATATTAAAGTAGACCGTAATGTCTTTTCAGACAAAAACAAGTGTTACTATGTGAAATGTTTTTGGCAGCAGGGGCATTAACAGTGCGTTTATTTTAAGAGGAAGTTATTGTGGCGTAACTAACACTGTATGTTTTAGCCTCCAGTGGGGAGAAGATCCACTCCACCAGGGCGGTGTGGCCTGGTTCCACTTCTCCTCCAGGGTTCAGACACTGTAAGAATGGATGACTGAAGTTCTCCTCCATCAGTTCCTCCAGTGGAGTGGTGTCGATGTGAAATCTAAGCGGGAGAGCGCCTGCATTATACAGCTCATACACCTATGCAGATTAAGCATTTAGCACATCTGTGACTATTAAAAATAAACACATGATATCTAGCAGATGACTGTAAGGATCTGCCAATAATTAAACAATTAATAACAATTTTTAAAGTCATTTTATCCTCTAAGGTTCTCAACCTTTATAACTCCAAGGCCCCTACCGTGCAAAATAATAATCTATGAACACTTCAAGTTTCTGTACATTAAATTCCAGATTTCCAGAAGTTTCAAGTTCCAAATGTTCTTCAGGGATCCCATTCTTTCTAATCAGTTAATCTGCATGACTTTTCCAGTTGTCAATGATTTACTGGATTAAGGATAAGTATTTTTAAAATAATTTGATAATTTCCTGATTTGTAGACGTTTTAGCTTATTTTAACACTCATTTTGTCTTATTTTAAATAATTTTAGGTCACCTTTGGCTGGTTAGCATGACCCTGTTAGCCACTGCTGGTAGGTACTGTAACTACACCATTTGTGGACATAAACAATTAAGCCTTGCAAAATACACCACAACATCAACATTAATAAAAATAATAATAATAATAATTATATATATTTTAGTTGACGTTTTGTCAGTCGAAGGGCCCTATATAATATAATATACGGTAATATTTAAGAGTTTATAATAAAAAATAAAAAGTCTATCTTATAAACTAAACAGCTTATAAAAACAGCTTTCAGGGAAAACCTCACTTGAGGTAACTTATAGGCCTACAAACCTGTTTGGGGGGACTGAACCCTCCAATTGCCACCGGGGAAAAGATGTGCCGGTTGGAGGAGAGGTAAATGTAGCATCTGTCTCTTTCCACAGTTACTCCTATAAAATTCAGCTGGAAAAAAATCAAGATTTGTCAGAATAAATCGTTTGTTAAAATGATTCATGTGCTGCAATGAAAAGAATCATTTGCCTCACCAGTATCTCTCTTCCATGTGAAAGTTTCAACAAGACAGGAAGACGATCTGTTCCCACAAAGTCATGTCTGGGAGAGAAGCATATGCCTTATAGTTTTCTGTGCCTCACTAAGCAACACTTCAGTGTAAAAGCACTATTGTGCTCATTCCTGACCTGTATGTGAATTGCACTGTCCTCTGTTGGCCAGGCAGGAGTTTACCAGAGTGTGGGGAGATAGAGAAGAGCCGGTGGTCCTGAATCTTCATCAGGTGGAGCTCAGATGCACTGAAATCTCCAGTCTCAGCCCAGTACTCCAGCTCAATCTGTTGGTCCTCTGGGAGCAAGAATGACCTGAGGGAGACCATTTTGATAATTTCTTCAAATTGCAGGCGTTACTTTATTTACTACTGTAAACTACAGGCATCAAGTTATGGATGCTCACCACTCTACAGGAATACTTCCTGGGTTCTTAAACAAAAGCAGAATACTGGAGGGGTCTGAGCCCAGGGGAGCAGCACTGAAGCTAAAATCCAACATGGCTGAGGTGAAGACGGAAGGGCAACGTCGAAGGCTGCAGAAGGTTTTAATGGATATCAGAAGAAAGCTGGGTAGAAAGAAATCTCTGAATTTATGACTTTTAATTGAAGCAAAACAAAAAAAAGCTGTTTGTTTAAAGTATTGCCTGTGTCTAGTGGGCACCCTGAAGGTGAGCTCAGATGGGCTGGGTTCTCTGTGTAGATAAGCGTTGAATGCATCCAGATCGAAGAGGTGCCAGAGCTGCAGTTTACTCAGTCCTTCCACACTGCCACAGCTACGAGCATCCATCACCTCCAGGGTGGGATACACTCCCTCGGCCTGTACATGGCATACAGATTGCGGCTCTCCTCCCACAGAGACTGGCTGCCAGAAAATAGTTTTATATGTTGTGAAATTTACCCATAGCAATTCTTTCAAACATGCAAAATGGCATATTTTAGACTTTAACGTGATAAATGTCTTAATAAACCAATTGAAAATAGCAGCATGAGTTTCCATGCTGGTGCAGGTTGTTTTACTCTGGTTAGTGGTGGCTAATGATGGTGGAACGTTGCAGCAGGCAGCAGGCTGCATTTATTATCTAATACCATGCAAACACTAAACTCGCAGTTTAAAGCATAAACAGAACTCATTTCTTAGTATGCAACCAGAAGCATTGAGGATGTGGTAACTGATGGTCCAGCAGTAATGGGCCCTGCGAGCCGGTTTCACTGTGCAGCGGATCGGTAGCCTGCAGTCAGCAGGTATGTTTCCACTTACATTCTCCATCTCCAGAACTGAAAAAGTAAGGCTTAATTTAAATAAATAAATAAATAATAAAGACTGACTTGACAGCAATCATAAGTACAACATAAAACAACTACACTACCGTTCAAAAGTTTGGGGTCGGGTAAGATTTTTTCATGTTTTTGAAAGATTTTTTTTTTAATCAAAAATACAGTAAAATACAGTTACTTATTATTATTAATGCTGAACACAGTTGTGCTGCTTAATAGATGAATAGAATAGAAATAGAATAGAAAGTTCAAAAGAGCAGCATTTATTTGAAATAGATTTTTTTGTAACATTCTGAAAGTCCTTGGTGTCACTTTTGATCAATGTAATGCATCCTTACTAAATAAAGTATCAATTTGAATGGTAGTGTAAATAATTTGTATATGGCTGAATATAGACAGAGAGGCATTTAAAGTGAGACACAGAGTCCTAGGAACGGCAGTAAAAATATTTCTAGTGAGTTGACAATGTAAGTGTCTCCATCCCAAAGGATCTTGAGTCATATCTTCTGGGAGGCCTGTAACAGTGACGCTCTGCTGTGTGATCAGAGAGTAGCTGACAGCACAGGGGCTGTCGTTCAGTAGAGGGACATCAAATGACTTACAGCTTCCCACCAGCACCTCACCAAGATCTATAACAGGATGCTCTGCCTGCGAAAAAAAATTACAAGTTATGACAATCTTTTTACATAAAAATTATAGGAAAGTGTACACAATCAACCCATCCCAACGCAAGGTCACTAACCAAGTGTAAGCAAATCTGTGTCATTGATAATATGCACTCCATTGTACAGATGATTAGATGTTCTTAATTTCATTCAGGCAACACACCTGGAGAGAACCTGTGCATGCCAATCTGACAGCCTTAATGGTAAGCCTGGATTTCTTGCATTGTGGCATTTGGACAGGCCAGAATGTGAGACTGGGCTTCATGTTGTACATCATCTCCTCCATAGGGGCAAAGGACCATTTCTGTACCTGAAAGCAAACAAAAACTTTCATTAATAAGACTGAAACTACTATGCCCCAAAATACCACAATCACACTGAAGCCTTACCTTTGATTCATTGGGCTGGAGCATGTCTGTGTCCGGCAGTACAGTCAGAACCCTTTGGTCAGATCTTTGGTCAGCCTCCACTTGAACTCCACCGGCACTCTGCTCATGTTCTTCACCTGCAGGGTTCTCTGAGAGCACGAGCCCACGGCTGTGGGCTAAAAGAACAGACTTCCATCCCCCTCCACGCTCATGAAAAGCTTCTCTGCTACAGCGACCACATTCAGTACCTACAAAAGATTCATTTGTAGGCTAAAATGGCCCATCAAAACCACAGCTTTCAGTTTCAGAAATTCCTAGTTTACTTTTTAATGAGTTAATGATGAGTTTAATGATTTTTAGGCATGCAGTGTCACACTTTAGTAAAAGTAAAGATAACTTAATGGAAATTGATACAAGTACAGGTAAACTAACTCATTACAAAAATACATAAATAAAAGCAACTGATATTAAAACTAGTATCAGTATCAAAAGTACAGGTTAATTTTATAGATAGGCTAATGGCACAACTGATTGTATCGCTGGCAGTCTGTGTTAGGATATGTAAGAGTTAAAGTGATTGTTCACCCAAAAACTGAAAACTGTCATCATTTACTCATCCTCATGTCGTAACAAAGTTCTTCAGCACAACATTGGGGTCTTTTGGGGTTATTCTTGGTTAATGTTAATTAATAAATAATCTTTTGTTCATTGTTAGATCATGTTTGTTCTTGCTACATCACTTTATTTTAATATCGAATTATTAATTATTATATTTAAAAGACTAATGTGTGTGTCCAACTCCTAATTCAGTTATACTGACATTATTCATAAATTATGTTGAAATGTCATACTTGTGTCTTGTATTAATGTAAATTACTATTGAGGAAGTAGCAGTATAATAAAATTATTAGAGAAACTGGCAGTAATACTCAGATAATATTTTTTATTAAGATCACAGACTATGTCAAAAATGAGTGCATGACCTTAGTAATTATCCTTTTCTTCATGATAATGTGTCTCTAGAGGTATCAATATAGATTTTTGGCTTTTTGGAAGTGGCTTCAATCACTCAGTGTGGCAAATCACTATATTGTACTATCTTACTGCCATGTAAGACATTGTGTTAACCTGTGTGTGTTTGGGGCTGGCATTCAGATGTAATGTCAAAGGGATACTGGCAGGATGATCCGGTGATGGAGTGCATCTGAAGGTAAGGATCTGGTGGCTGCCTGCTGGAACCAGACCACTGGGTGGAAGCACGCATACAGGTGGACATTCCTCTGGATCTAATCTGAAGATCAAGGGTAGGTTACCTGTATTCTGCAGGAGAATACTGCGGTATGATACCTGCTTCAGTGCAGGGAATACCTGGAGGTAGATGGATGGTGTTAAAACCTTTTAAGTGTATTTACATTCAGTATTTTTCCAATTATGGTTATGGTCTCTCTACATATTATGTTGAAAGATGTAAGCATTATCAGACTCACTACTTTAGGGTATTGAAGAGAGAAGTTGGGGATGAAGTGCTCTTTTCCAGGTTGAAATGAGTGACCGCTCACCCTGACTGTAAGGCACCAGGGTGGACACAAAGTCCAATCCTCCACATTTCTATGATCCCTCAGAACCTGGGGATGACAAAAAATTAATTCAGAACTCCTGTTCTCTTTACATGCCATTTACATATTGAATACAATTGCTGGAGATCACCAAATCAATTTACTTTAAGGCTGAAATACACTACATGACTTCTGCCCCGATTTACAGTCTGGACGAGTCAACACTAATTGTCGAAAGGCAGAGCCAGTCTGCAGATTTGATTTGACAGATTTCACAGAACATTGCATAGATTATGATGGGCACAGTCTTTTTTTGCTATACAGACAGAGGATATCAAACAGGTTATGTAGTATATTCCAGCCTTTAGTCTCACATTACCTTGTAAAAAGTGAAACACTCAAGCTGTGCTGCATGGAAGATGTTCTGCTGGTTGGGATTGTATGTCACTCTGAAGGCTGTGCTCTTTAATGGGCCCAGCTCACAGGAGAGAGGAGAGATGGAGAAAGGGGATTCAGCTACATGAGTCCACATCAGACAGATCTTGCCTTTGGTGTGGTTGGTGATGGAGACTGACTTAGATGCTGGGCCGTCATAAAAAAGGAGCTCAGATGGCTGAACTGTAACATGGGGGCTGGGGAATCTGGAGGGGTTTGAGGTGTTGTCAAGTTCTGTTTCCACTTCAGGTGCTGAATTAATGTGGAAATACTCCTCCAGAGGACTGCGCGGGTTGAAGAGAAGTGTGGATTTGTCAGTACCCTCTGCTGGAATCTAAAGAAAGTTAGATGCAGTGTTATGTGATGTCACATGCATGCTTGTTTTCCAGTTTTCCTTTTTTGTTGTTGTTGTTGTTGTTGTTAGCTGTGGTGTACCTGATTTTTTTGTGAATTAGATAGAAGAATATGAGGTTAGGATGTTTGACTTAACTCTTAGATGTCAGAAAATTTGTATGTTACATCACAGTGCAGATGGACAAACACACACCTCCTGGATTAGCAATGCTCCGCTATCATCAAGTTTTAATTTGTGTTCATCCAGCAAGGCACTCAGTATGTCAGGAGGATAACAGGTGAGCCCTCGTAGCAGATTCATTCTGTAGACACTCAGGTGTCTGGGGTTTAAAACGGCTGGCTTCAACTGCTCTGAGTGACAGGTGCCAATCAAATCCAGAAACAGTGGCTCCTTTAAAGAGAAAAGCAGAACCGCTTTTGAATGAAAACAAGACAAGAAAGAGCAGATATTCAACCAAGAAGCCAACAAACAGACAGACAGAAATTAAAAACAGACAGATAGACAGACTACCCTGTGCAGCAGCAAACAGATCACTGTCTTGTGATAAGCTATAGGTTGATGTGGGCGGAACTTCACACGCAGAGTGAGTTTGCTGCTGCCTGGCAGAGAGCCACAAGGCTTATCAATGCTGAACACACTATGGCTGCCAGTGATCACATCAAACTGGTAATGGGCCAATACTGCAGAGGAGTTGATGATCTGTACATTGTGTGTGACTTCTGTGCCTTCCTCAACACAGCCAAAGTCCAATACAGAGGTACTTAGAGACACTATTGGACCTATAGTAGACAGAAGAAGGCTGTCAGACGGTTTGATATGTTTACGAGCAGATGTTTGGAAAGCTTTTACTGTAGGGTTATACTGTATATTGTACCTATGCAGGTTCCTGACACTTTGAGCAGGTCTCTGCTTACAGCTCCAGGACAGGTAACAGAGAGGTAGTCCACACTAATGCTGTCCACTATGAGTGGGGAGAAGCAGACAGGGACTTTCAACACTGAATTTGGAGCGATCTTCCCCTCATGCACCTCACAGCAGAACACAGACTCCATGAGAGCGGGACGTCTCAACCAGGATAGACTGATTGTTGTGCTAACCTAAGAGAGAAAGAGAGTGACTGTGATCGAGAAATATCTGAGTAACGTCTAAATATTCAATGAGCAAAAAAGTAGGGCGGAGGGAAACATACAGTGGAGAGGTTGTAGATCTCAAAGTGTCTTTCAAGAGAGTCTCCTACTGCCACACTGCCAAACTCCAACACCTTACAGCCTTCCTCCTGCCCCATGAGCGGATCTGGAGGTGGGGGTACTTGGCTGTGGAAAGGAATTTAAATGTGATGTGAGTCATTTTTTTGATGTTAAAATACTTTACAGTTTAATATGTAGAGACAAATATAATTGGCGTTCACTTTTTAGTGGCCTGGGATTAAAAAAAGTTTTGGTTTACATTTTAATAAAAAAAAAAAAATCTTCAATAAATATTTCTTGGCCAACAAAATGTAGAGATTGTGGAACTTTTAAGAGGCAATGAACTCAAAATCCCATGAAACACTTAAAATGACATAACTGAATAAAGAAGGATGGTGAAATATCAAATATTTATATTAATTGGTAAAAATAACTTAAAATAAAAAATAGTTTAAAACATTTTATACAACATATAGTTTTTTATATGTTGTATAAAAACCAACCTATTTTAAATTTATGCATATACAAATATGCATACAAACACAGACACAAACACATATTTGTATGTGCATAAATTTATACTTGTTTTTATACAACATATAAAACAGTATATGTTGTATAAAATATATGTTTTTATACTATATGCTGTTTTTAAATATATATTTTTTACTATTTTTGATAAAAACTTCTGAGCTAACAGTATGTCTGTCTTTTAAGATTTATCCACCTTATTTTTGCCGTAAGAGCGGGTGCGGCCTTTTTTGTAAATTTAATGTGTCTGGCTTCTGCTGTCATCCGCTTCCAGCTATTTTTAGCTGTACAAAACAGCTCGTTTTGTTGCTTGATATTGCAAACTTGTGTTTTTTACCATATTATTTTAATGTGTTGTCTTAATTATAAACATACTGGGTTGTAGCACAAACAATTTTATAGTTTATTGCATTTTGTTATTCTTCTTGTCATTTCCCTAATGTGGCTAATGAAGCGGAAGTCTCGCACATTCAACGAAAACAGCTTACTTCCGCAATGAAAAATAAGGTGGATACAGAATTGTTAAACATTTATTTCTCTATGTAGAGAATGAATGATTTTATTACTTTAAAATGGTAGAAACGACCAGTATATATCCTAAATGTGCTTTCTGAAATTCTTTGAAAAGCTTAGTGTTCTCACACAGCCCACGCAGAAGCACAGCACAGCTGCTCTCCCCATCATCTCCAAAAGCACAGCTGGCCTCAGCCTGATACCCTAGAGCCTGCTGGGGTTTAAACTCTACTGTAACCCTGCATTCTTCTCCAGGCTTTAACTGTCCAGTTTCAGGGGACAGCTGGAAGGGAGGGTCCACAAACCACCCGAATCCTGTTTGCAGCTTACTGGGGACACAAAAATTGCATTCACAGGTTTCAAAATTCAGCACTTTCTTTGCACTTTCTCCATAGCTCAGATGATCTTTAGTCATGCTTTACCTGGAATTACGAAAGCGGAAGCTGGTTTGGGAGCTGTGCTGGGCAGCACAAGGTGGCAACATCACTGTGTCTGGTACCTCCAGGGCATGATGAGGAGTCACAGCTTGCAGAGACACCTGGAATGTGCCTTCCTTACCCTGAAACTCTATAGCGTCTGCATACTCACACTGGAAAGAGCAAGGCAAGAAAGAAGAATACATGCAAATCTAGTCAGGCAAATAATATCTCTCATTACTTGCTGTAAATGTTGATTATAAAATTCATCATAATCATAGGATTAATGAATGCTTCAATTATATAACAAGCTTAAGATGATATATTAAATAAGAAACACAGATAATTTAAACTTTACTTTCTCAAGAGGCTGAAAAGTAACTGTGAGTGAGTAAGACGTTCCTGGGCTCAGAAGGATGGTCTGAGGAAATGGTGTGCTGAAGAACTTGGAAGCAGGAGGTCTGAAATGGACAAAATACAACAATTTAAACACTACAGTTCGAAAGTTTTAGGTCAGAAAGATTTTTAAAAAAAGAACACTTTTATTCAGCAAAGCATTACATTTATTAAAAGTGACAGTAAAGACATTTGCGATGTTACTAAAGATTTATATCTCAACTAAATGCTGTTTTTTACATTCTATTCATCAAAAAAATTCAATAATAAATAAAATAAAATAAAAAAGTACAAAAAATTAATAAATAAAAATATGTATCTCAGTTTCCTCAAAAATATTAAGCAGCACAACCAAACTTAAGACTTAAAACCCATTTTAAAAAATCTTACCAGACACAAACTTTGCTTTGAATTATGGAAAAATTAACTTTTGGTCTTAATGAGTTATTGTTTTAAGTGGACTGACCCGAAGGTGAGTTTCTGGAGTTTTCCATGTATGCTTTTAAGGAACAGTGATTTGGTATACTCTCGTCCTGGCTCCCAGCCCTCCCAGACCAACTCAGCCCAGGTTTCTACCCCAAAGAAGCAGTTTTGAGTTCTTTTCAGAGGACTCCCTGACCTGAGGCGTGAGACCCTCTGAAAATAAAGGTAATCAAGTCATATAGTCTATTGTTTTTTTTTCACCAGCAGATGGCAGTGTATTTCAGCAAAGCATTTTAGCAGACCGGTGGTAAAAAGCCAATGCAAAATCTTTTTTTTATTTGTATTTTTTTATATAAAAACGATTACAATATAAATACTATTAGAAACTAGCTGCAAATAGCAGAATAATGAAACGTGAGTAAGTAGGCAAGAATAATGAACAACAAATAATTACAGAGCATATAATGAATAAGAAATTGGGGCTAGCTATCAAACACGGAGGTTGGCACGATTATTATACTCCATAACTACAAGTCCTAAGTGTAATTTTTATCGGGTCAAATTACTGGGGTTTTATAGGTTTATATATGTTATATATGTTGAGTTTTATTATAATTGTTTCATTGTCTAAATATTGCTGAAAATGCAGGTCCCATAGTCAACTTAATTCATTTAGTCTTTAGCCTATATAAATGTGACATCTTTTTTTTTTTTTTAAGTTATTTTATTTATTTATCTGTATATTTATTTATTTATTTTGGACATCAATTTACTTACAAAAACCCACCCTGGGAAATATTTGCTGAAATAAAAGAATGACAACGATCCCATGTCTGCCATGTTTACCCACATAATAAAAACTAACTAGTTCCACCTTTAAAAAAAACACCTTACCTTTCTATGTGGGTTGTGTGTGACTCCAAAGGGAATGCCTGAGCTCAGAGGATTCACCGGATGATCCGTCAACATTGCACCTAAAAAACAAACACCCAAACCACAGGAGTTCAAATAGTGCTGCACTTGTGGGCTTCAAATATTTCATATAGCTTTTATATCATATTATATAAAAACAGATGTGGATGTAGACTGCATAAATGATCTGGGCCGATATCAGATATTAACCTAAATTTCATCTGACCAATAATATGAACATATAAAGACCATACTGCATTAGGCAATATCTGTATTACTTTAAACACCTGTATGCTAAAGTGGCGCATTTACATTTATTTGCTCTTCTCTCCATTTATTGCAATAGCAGGATCTGTTATATGTCTGTCTGAGGTTAACTGAGGCTGGTGTAAATGTATGACCCTGCCACTCATTTCTTTACCTCTCTATTAGCTTAAGTGATTTGCCTTAAGGAAATCTGACAGCAAAGGTGATTGCCTCAGAGGATCATTAAATGAAATGTTATTGATAAAGGGGCACAGTGGGTTTTCTGGAGAGTATGCAAAGGTATTTTCTGTTTTATGTCTAAAATTACTGACATATTTTCTTTTAAAAAGTTGACAGCGTTGATAATTGCATAGAAGCTGTAATTCTGTTAAAATAACTCATAAATCCGTTTGCTAAACATTATATCAAGTATTACAAGTATGCCTTACACCTTCTACCAAAATGAGCAAAATTTGCGTTATTTTTACGTGATGTATCTTACTAGAAATTATAACTTACCACTGTATCTTTATCTCATGCAGATATATATCACAAACAAACAAGAAAACTGAATGGAAACGTGTCAGTTTATTTGTTTCGCAAGTTTTCCTCACTGTTGCGTATTCGAGCTCCATGACAACGCCGACGGAAACAGAAGAGGGACATTTTACACACGATAATTTTTTTTCTCAATACCTTTAGCACTCGAGACGCAGGTGTAATGTTCCAAATGCGTTATAAAAGTGCAAAGTTTCCCTTCTTCAGTGCTCGAGTGTGCTTTACTTTGGCAGGGTGTTTATTCCCGCCACTGCAGTGCATTTAATTAACATATAAATATGCCCTATTCTAGCTTGGCTGAGAACACTGCACCTTCTCTGCTTTAATATTTAATTGTTGGCCTTACACCACGCCCCTGTAAAAATGCTCTTTTGGTCACTGAGGTAATTCATCTTTTCGAATTAAATGGCCCGGTGACATCAGCATAAGGAGTAGATTATTTTGCTTTTCCTTCATTAACTTAATTATTTGCCTATCAGTAAACCCCCCTGAGTAATTCATATTTGAGAGGCTGTGGCCATAAATATCAGGGCCTGCGTTGTTTATAATGCACTGTAGATTCGTCTGCGCTTTAATCACCATCTGTGTCAGCTAGAGGTTAAAATGGAGAGGAGAGTGGGCCGATGATTATGTAGGATGGGGGTGATACTCATTTACAGTTTTAATCCTTTCACTCATGAGCTGAACACATACAAACAGCATTTCTATAGGGTTCAAGTGAGAGAATGGATTTTGTTTATTTCCTTTTTGTCTCCAAGTACATATTTTACCAGCAATCTTTGAAGGGCACACATCCTTCAAACTGAGTCCTGATATCAGTTGAATAAATTAGATATAATCTATAACAGTTAAATAACATTAAAGACACCAACATCAACATTACATAAACTAATGGACTAACTAATGCACCGTTCACAGTTTGCCCATGTTCAGTATTTGCAGAGGATTGACCAGTTCCTCAGTGTTCCGGTCACTGGTTACTGGAAGAAAGCTGACACTGATGACCTCTGGACAATCATCTGTTCCCCAGCATCCACTCTCGACTACATACTATTAAACATGATGTGTTCAAGAGACCAATGAGCACAAGTGACAGCCTGTGACGTTCAGTGCAAATGCTTCCTCATTTGGTTCAACAGCTTTTTTCAACCAAAATGTCCATGTTAACATATATAGTAAAGATTTTGATCACATAAGAAAAACATTAGTTTGAAATAGTGTACATTTGCAGTTTACAAGCAGCCCTCAAGAAAAAATATTAAGTGCAAATAAACCGGAAGACTTATTTAAGACTTTTTTGACTATAAACATCATGGACAATGAACTCATCTGGTCTAAGCGATAGTTTTGACATCAACAGCTTTCAGTCTTGAGGTGTTGGATTTTAAACCTGTCCAGTTCATGGACATGCAGACTGCAGCTGCCATTAGTTCTTCATAACCCGAGTCTGATCTTTCGGTCTCCTCCGATCTCTTCCAGGTCGTCATCAGAGTAAGAGCCATGAGAGCTGTAGCTCAGCGCGGAGCTGTGCTGCAGGAAGTCCGATGGGTGAGGTAAACCCACACCTGCGTTAATCGATTTTCTGAACTCTTCCTCTTCTTCTTCATCATCTTCCTCCTCTCCGTCCAGATCCTCATCGTCATCGTGTGCACTGCAGCGACTGAGGTCTTTGGGCTTGTTTTCTCTCTTGCCTGACTTACAGCCATCTGTTTCCATCTGCGCAGCCTGCTCTTTAGCTTTACGGCTGCGCTTCCACTTCATCCGTCGATTCTGGAACCAAATCTTCACCTGGCAAATACATAACAATCATCACAATCAATCACATAAAGGTTGATCCATTGGTATTAGCATTTGGAAATATTCATGAACTTATTATTGATTTGATGATGCAAATTATTTTGCTGTCCCACAGTTCTCAGTATGTCTTTCTCCCTCATCCCTTCTTTTTAATGGATGAAGGTGCACCCCAAACCTAACCGTCAATGGGACATAAGCAGATCATATGAATAAGATTGTACAAATTCAGTCATCAATTTGCCAAAACATCCAATACTCCTAAAAATAAAGGTTCTTTTTTGGCCTTTATTGTTCCATGATGAACCTTTAACATTCATTGAACCTTTTCATTTGCACTAAAGGTTCTTTATAGTAGGTTCTTCAGAATGTTCTTCACACTGAGTAAAATAGTTCTTTTAGGAACTGTTGACTGAAAGGTCCTTTGGGGAACCAAAAATGGATCTTCTTTGGCATTGCTGCAAAAATTATGAATTGTCATGTGTTGCTTTCTCCTCACCTGTGTCTCAGTCAGCATGAGAGAAGTGGCCACTTCATAGCGTTTGGGTCGTGATAGGTACTTGTTGAGTTTGAACTGATTTTCCAGCTCTAGCAGTTGCTGGCTGGTGAAAGCTGTGCGTGGTCTCCGGGACTTTCCAATTAAACCAGACTGAGGTGCCCCTGAGAAGAGGGTTAGTTGATAAAGGAGGTATAAGACTTGTGCCAAAAAACAAAGACATACGGTGAAGACACCAAGCAGACACAGCAAACAAGAACATAGTCACCTCTTGTTCCTCCCCCCTAATAGATAATGATAACAGCTTTACTTCAGTTTATTGTTGATGACTGGGAGATACTGCTTTGGAAGGACAATAAAACACCAGCGAGCACCATTAACTTAATGAAAATTCAATAAATGCTACCAGATAACTTTATTGATGAAGCTCAGACCGTTTTAAGTGTTTCTTTATAGTTTTCCTCTGGATGAAGCAGGCAGTTTTAATGGAGTTGTCATTTATGATGCTATGAAAAGACTGAAAATAAAAAAGCTTACATTATAGTTCCGTTAGCAGTAAATACTGATTCAATTATGCTAGATAATATTTATGGCATGTGAGTTCACTTTATAGTGATTTTGCAGAAAGATGCCTTTATATTGTACATGTTTATGTGATGTTATATTTTTTTCATAATTTTCCCAACATTTTAGAATACATAAAGTTTTATACATGTAAATATATTTGTAACTTTATGAATACTGATAATAATCATTGCTGCAGCTTCATGGAAATACGCTTGGGGTAAAAATAAGTAAATAACATGTAGGCCTATTTTCCAGATCTCTGTGTCAAGATTACACGCATTATTATCATTTAGACTTTTTTAATTCAAAGGCGTTCTTAAAATGTAAGCACTGATATACCTATAAAAATGAACAAATATTATAATGCATATGCATAATTCTGCAGAAGGGACACATACCGCTGTAGTCTGCGAGGCGAGGCATTATGAGTCCAGCCCGGAGCCAGTGTTCTAACGGGAACGAACCGGCCACGGCTGCTGCTTTCAGGTGCTCCGGGTACGGCTGCGCGAAACCTGAATACGCGAAGGTGGGATGCTGCGCTCCCAGTGCCGTGATGGAGTACATAGGTGAGGGATACATTCCTGGCATAGGCCCTTGGCAAAGTGACGTTAATCCTGGGTGAGAAATGTTCAGCATGCCCGGTTTGGGCATGACCCCTGTCTGAAGGTGAAAGGCGCGAGGAGGAGAGCTCTCTGTCCGTTTGCAGGTCGCGGGCTCGATGTCAGCGCCGTCGTTGCACAGTCCCGGGGAATCCTCGCGAACCATCCGCTGAGAGCTCTCTGACAACAGCGCATCTATTCGAAAGTTCCTCGACTTATCCATTGAGAAAAACTTTAAGTCTCAAGTATGTTACGAGCTAAATATATTATAAAATAGTATAATTTTAAGCGTTTTTTTTTTTCTTTTTTCCCCTCTTACACTAGCCTAAAATTAGAATTAACTTTTACTTAGGCCAAACTATTTGCCTGACCGTCTGTAATATTGTCTAATTCTTTAAGAGAGTTGTGGATTTTGTTTGTGTTTTCATCTCTATACCCGTGACGCAACGTTATGCCTGGAGCGCGTGCAGACATCAGTTTTTGACTGTCTCACGCTCCAGCTCGCTCGTCCTAAACACTCTCTGATTGGTTCATTTCGATGCCCTTAGAGTTGAGAAACTTCCAATGCGTTCTAATTAATTCATTACACACGCATTTATTTCACCGTCAAGCCATACATTTCACGTATCTTAAGACTTATCGGTCAATTGGCCACACAAACATTTTTTTGTCAACACAACTGATCTTCTAAAAAGAATATTTATCCACAGAAAAGTCTGCAAAATGTAATTGATTAAACAGCAATTAAAACAACAATAACAATGAGCGATAGACAATTTGTTATAGGCTACTATAAGCTAAAAGAGATACGAAATAACAACAACAAAAGAAAACGTAGACCTATTTTACATTAAAAAACTGGGCACATTTAGACGTCTTTAAAATCTCTCAAAAATACTTTACAAATTCATTTAGCCTACGTTGTCGATATAATTTCGACTGGTGATCTATGTTTATTATTCATTTTTCTTATTTCACTGAGGGGCTTTACACGATGTTGTTATGGCAATATTTTTGTTCCCATCTATTTAACTTTATTAAAAATTTTTAAAACTTTTTATATAGCCTAGCCTATGTTTGGTTCAAGTTAATTGAATATCGTTCATAACAGAGTCATGTTATTAATTAAAATTACCTACAATGATACATATTTTTCAAATATATCTTAATAAACATAATAGGGAATAAAATCGAATAGAATGGTAACCTAAAATGTTTCATTGCAAAATATAGGCCTAAACAGATGAATGTCAAATCAAACGGCATGTACAACTATCTTGTAAACTAAAAAAAGGTTCTGAATATCAATCGTGTACCTATTCAGAATTAACATTCATTGTAATTCATTTCATTTCACTGATTAGCTTCTTAAGAGCATTGAAGAGGATTTCATGACATATTTTAATGGTACACTCTAAAAAATGCTGGGTTAAGTACAGCCCAGTGCTGGGTAAAATAGGGACAAACCCAGCAATTGGGCTGTTTTGACCCAGCGGTTGGGTTACTACCCAGAAGGTTGGGTTAAACATTTAACCCAACCGCTGGGTCAAAACAGCCCAATTGCTGGGTTTGTCCCTATTTTACCCAGCACTGGGTTGTATTTAACCCAG